TAGCCCCAGAAATTTCTAATATATTAAAAATATTTCACAAAAATTGAGATATAGGGCCAGGGAGATAGTTTGGTGGTCTAAGCACCTGCCTGGCAAGCACAAGGACCCAGGTTCGATCCCCGGTACCACATGCTGTGCCAGTCCCAAGCTGAGCTGGCCACTGAAACTGGGCATGGTGGCACCCTTGTGTAATCCCAGTACTGGGAAGGCTGAGATAGGAGGATCACTACAAGTTAGAGCTGCATAGCGAGACCCTGTACCAAATAAATAAATAGAAAGATTTTTAAAAATTGAGATATAAAATTCTGTTCATAATTAACTAAATAGAAAAAACATATTATTTTCATATTTATGTATCAATTACTCACAATGTAGCAAGTACTATGATAATTACTAGGACTAATTAAGATCAGGCATTTAAAAATTCTCAAAATGTAAAAATAGGAAGGAGGTGGCATAGACTATGTCAATGAAAAATAGGACTGATCTGGATACTAAATAATGTGAATTCTGCCTTTACTTTGTACCAAAAAACATGTTTATTCTGACAAAATACTTCTTCAGGTTTCAGATCTTCTATAAAATTAGATATCTGTTCCTCGCATGCCTTCAGGGCACGTTTGGCCAGCGGGAGAGTTGTGAGTTTCTAACTTCTGCCACCTGAGGCTGACAGCTTTGTGGAAGCAGCCACTTAAAGGACTGAGCTAGGCCCAGGCCCTAAAATTAGATATCTGAAATAATTATTTCAAAATTTTTTTCTAAGTCTTAAAACTGTTAGTGGTCTACTTAGAGTAGTAAATGGTCAAGTCACCAAAGTTATAATTGTAATCCATTAGGATTATTTTATATGCTTTAATTTGGGACTTTCAAGCATTACTGCAGCACTCTGAAGGCAAATTTTGGAGATTTTTCCCTCCCCAGGAACAGTGAATAAACTGATAATAATTGATCAGTATTAATCAATCAGCAGAAGATAGGTGTTTTTAGTATTTTAAATTAAATTGTGAAGGCCCTACAGTTAAAAAAAGTAGTTAAGATGCATTTTCTATTAAGTGAAGTTTTTTTTTTTTTGTTTTTTTTTTAACTTGTTCAACTTACAAAGCTCATCAACACCTAGAGTCTTGTTATTTTTGCTATCAGAAAGAAATGACATACCAGGTATAATATCTATATAACCATGAAACTGCAGTTAGTGAGAAAATGCCATGGATGTGGAATCAGAGAGAATTGGGGTTTTTTTTCTAGGTTAGCAAGTTTGAGGCAAACAAGTCATGTAAACTTTCCAACTTCAAGTTTTCTCACCTAAAATGTAAGGCTTAAAATAGCTCCTCACACCAAAGCTCAACTAGACACTGGATGACTTACAGGACAAGGAAGGAGATGCCTAATGGTCTTACATGAACATGGCAAATACAGTCCAAGAAGATTAGATGACCATCCAAAACAGAATCGATTTCTTATACCCTCAACTGTGTTCCTCTCCCACTCTATTAAATGAATAAGCCCAGGAATAAAACTTGATTTTCTTTCCTCACCGTCTCTGATACGTAACTGATCAGCGATTCTGTCACTCCTACTTTCAAAATGTATCCCTGACCACTTCTTACTATCTTGTTGGCCAGTACTCAAGTCCAAGCAGTCTCCGTCCCTCACCTAGATCCTGCTTCAATCTGCTGCTGGTTTTACTCCCACTTCAGTGGAATCTTTACCCAGAAATCAGTATTCTTTTTAAAATGGAAGTCAGATTATTATTATCCTAATAGTTTCCCATTGCAATGAAAATAAAATTATAATCTCCTTATGGTGGCCAGAAAGGTCCTTCACAATCTACCTCCTGCCTATATCTCTGAATACATTTATTTTGCACTCCTCTGCCCTTTGTTTATGAGGACCTGTGGCATTCTGTATGGAAACTACTAACCATGTGGCTAAGTTGAAATTAAAATTCAAATCCTTTCCCTGTTCTCCTTGTTCTTCAGTGCTTCCCCTCCGTGGTTCCTTATTACTTTCTGATTCCCAGGATTTGAAATCACTGCTATGTCTTCTGAAGAACAGAAGCTCTTTGTTGGTGGGCTTAATTTCAATATGGACAAGCAGGCACTGGAAGACCACTTCAGCAGCTTTGGGCCTATTTCTGAGGTGGTTGTTATCAAGGACCGGGAAACTCAGCAATCCTGGGGTTTTGGCTTCATCACCTTTACCAATCCAGAGCATGCCTCAGACACCATGAGAGCCACGAATGGAGAGTCCCTGGAGGTCGCCAGATCCATGTGTACCATGCAAGCAAATCTGCCTGGGGCACCAGAGGAGAAGATGATTTTGGGGCCCATGGACGTGGTCGCAGCTGCTCTAGAGGTGGTGGGGACCTGGGCTATGGGAGTGGCAGGTATGACAGTCGACTGGAGGATATGGATATGGTTATGGGCGATCCAGAGACTATAGTGGCAGAAGCCAGGGAGACTATGATCAATACTCAGGAGGGAATTACAGAGACAATTATCACAACAGAGAGGCTTGTAGACATGACATACACAAGGAATAACACTTCTCATCCACGATAATCCTTCCAAATCGCAGTATAAAGATTTTTAAAGCCATGCTGAAACTTATTTATTTATTTATTTATTTATTTATTTATTTTTGCAGAACTGGGGATTGAACTCAGGCCCTTACGCTTGCCAGGGAAGTGCTTATTCTACTGAACCATCTGCCCAGCCCCATGCTGAAACTTGTGTAGCATATTTACTATTTTTTAACTGAGCTCGCAAGGTATCTTGTTAAAGACCTTTTAGAAAGCTCTGTGTTATTTTACTTTCCCCCCATTTAAAGTGAAATTTCTGAGACATTTGTAGAGTTATGGGAGTTTTTCCTTATAAAAGTTTTTAGTTTGGACTCTCAGGATCATTCAAGGCAACAAAAAAGTTGTGCCAGACTGATATTTTTTTCTTTCTTTCTTTCTTTTTTTTTTTTTGGTGGAACCGGAGATTGAGCTCAGGCCCTTGTGCTTGCCAGGCAAGCGCTTATTCTACTGAGCTATCTCCCCGACCAATATTTTTTTTTTAAATCATGTATCTGGGGTTATTTTTAAAATATGTATGCACTTCTTAATCATGTGTACAAAAATTTTTGAATGTACCTGTAAGCAGTCTGCATCAAGAATATGACTGCTTAAAGGGTTTTTTTTTATTGAAGATCTACCATCATGAGTGTAAGAGTTTCTTGAAAATGTTTGCGCATGTCATTTTTTTTTTTTAAAACGTTTTTTTTTAAAAAAAAAATTTATTTTTTTAATTTTATTTATTGTTTGTGTGTGTGTGTGTGTGTGTGTGTGTGTGGCCAGCTCAGCCCTCCAGGGGGCGGGGCTGGCTGGCATGTGGTGCTGGGGGATTGAACCGTGGTCCCTGTGCTTTGCCAAGCTTGTTCTAAGTAGGTGCTTTAGACCACTGAGCCATCTCACCAGCCCCGCATGTCATTTTTTAACACTAGAATAAAAAATATTCTTTCGTGTCTCATGTGTTTGGAATGTCCTTCAGAACTGATTAAAAAGGTGAAATCTGAACACACACCAAAAAAAAAAAAAAAATCAAATCCTCAGCCACACAGCCACATTTCAGTTCTCTTAATTTATGGGTACTGAGTTGGACATCGCAAAATAGAAGATTTCCATCAGCACACACAATTTTGCAGGACAGACTATCTAGACTCATACCAACTTCATTCTTAAGTTCAGTGCTTTTTACTTATTTTTTATGTTTAGGGCTTTGCACTTGCTACTCATCATGGGGAATGCTCTTTTCATGTTTCAGGATGGAATAATTCCCACCACCATCATAATTCAGGTTTCAACTCAGATGAAACTCTTTAGGGAAGCGTTTTAAATTTAGATTGGACTAGGCATGGTGGCACATGCCTGTAATTCCAGGACTTGGGAGGCTGAGGCAGGAGGATTCTTGCCAGTTCCAGGCCAGTGTGATCTACAAAGTAAGCTTAAGGCCAGCCTGGATTGTATAGTGAGACCCTCTCTCAAAAAGACAAAATAAAAAAAAAAAATATATTGGGCTGCCCAATCTGAAATACTTCCCCAATCTTTCCTATTCCCAGATACTCTCTACCTCATTCCCCATTTTGTTTTCTTCATAGCATTCATCGCTACCTGAAATTATTTTGTTTAGTTTTTTTCTCTCTCTGCCCACAGAACAAAAGCTCCATATCTGTGTATTACAGCTGTACCTCCAGTGACTAGAGCAATACCTGGCACATAGGAAACAGAAAATAAATTGTTAAATAGCCAATTGCAGTAGAACATGCCTGTAATCCTAGCTATGGGGGGGGGGGGCGCAGGAGAACAGCAAATTCAAGGCAAGCCTGGGCAATTTAGGGAGTTCTTGTTCCAAAATAGAAGATAAAAAGTCAGTGATGTACCTCCAGGTTTGAGACCCAGCACTATAAGTGGTGAGGATTATTGACAAAGCAAGAAATGAGGTTTATAATTCTAATTCTAAATCCTGAGTCACTGTTCTCTGTGAACACCAGTTCTCCTTTTTAAAATGACAAGATTCATGGGGGCCGGGAGATGGCTCAGTGGAATAAAGCATTTCCCTGGCAAGTGCAAGGGTGTGAGTTCAATCCCCAGTTCCACAAAAAAAAAAAAAAAAAAAAAAAAAAAAGACAAGATTCAGCAGGCGTGGTGGTACATGCCTATAGTTAGGGTACATGGGATGCATTAGATAAGTAGTAAGACCTCTTTCATTCTATCACTGAGATTCTTTGTGAATCTGAGAAATTTTGGTTCTCTTATAGACAAGTATCTTTTTTTTTTTTTTTTTTTTTTTTTTTTTTGGCAGAACTGGGGGTTGAACTCAGGCCCTTGCACTTGCCAGGGAAGCACTTATTCCACTGAGCCATCTCCCCGGCCCCTTATTTCCTTTCTCTCTGTAATGAATTACAGTTCAATTCAAATATAATTCAATTACAATAAATCATTAATATTCAATACACACCTCCATCAAGGCTCCGGGATGCCCGTTTGCTTGCTGTACGTTCAAAGTGTGGAGCAGGCCTATCAATTAGAGCACTAGCTTGCCTGGTCTGAGCTTGAGTCCGGCCACTGTATCGAAATTTGGATCCCAAAGCAAGAAATTTGCTTTTGGGAATGGTATCTGTAGAAGTTAGTCTGGGGGAAAAAAAGTATTTAAAAAATTTTTTTATTTTATTGGTACACTTTAGATATATATAGTAACAGTCATTGTAGGGGATTTGGACTTTTACCTGATTACATCTTGCTTCTTTTATTCCCAGGAAAAAAATTAATAGTCATATAATATATATGTAATTACTTTATTCTGAGATTATAAAATTAAAAATAAAATCAAGGATAAAAATGTTTCACAATTTTCATGGTTTTACTAGTTACTAAGAAATTTTTCAATTAAGCAAACATTGTTTTAGTTCTATATTATATCTGAAAGCAAACAATTTAGTTGGGACCTATATTAATAATATGTTATATTTCTATAGCTATTGTTTTTAGTTTTCGAAATAGTTTTACAGTCCTACAATATTTTCATTACATCCCTGTAATGTTTACACCATTTTAGATACAGGAAATTAAATACCCAAAGTTGAAGACTGGGCAGCAACAAAGTTCAAACCCACAGTCTGATTTTAGTTAATTAGGGCGATCAGAGACCACCTAGTAAACAAACACTCATTCCTCCCATCTCTTCACTGTACACAGGAAGGGGCTTTGAGAATGTTGGGGCATGCTCCAGCTCAAACAGGGAAAGATTTTATCTTTTTTTTTTTTCCCGTATTTTTTAGGGAAGGGTCTACAGGGGGTTCAGGGTCTCACTACTAGATCGGACTCGTAGTGATTCTCCTGTTTACAGCCTCCCAATTGCTGGGATTACAGGGGGGGCCACCACGCCCAGTCTCATTTGCCGGCTCAGCATGCCCCGGGGGCGGGCCTGGCACAGCAGATTTTGTCTTAACATGATCCAATCAGAGCTACATAAGAGTGCCAGTGACATGAAGAAAATTTCAATAGAAGAGTACAGAAACATACATAATCTGTCCTTGAATAATATTTAAGTGAGTATAATACCTGAAAAACGTGTGATGCTCTACACAGACTTTCCATAATTTCTTAGCTGCTCGGTAACTGGGAAGTTTGAATCCAATGGTACTTTCATACTGTTCTTGCTAAAAACACACAAATAAAAATAAAGTATTACTTGACCACATGATACAATACCACAAAAATATGGTACCACAATGAAGTCATAAATATAAA